AGAGGTGTCCATACTTGTATAAATATTTATTAAACCAAAATTCTACCTCGTAATTTTTGGGTGAAGGGGGTGTTGCTTGACATCCGGAAAAGGGTGGCTCCCCCCCTGCACCTAGTGTTTTGAACGAGGGTGCTCGACCCACTTTTTTGACCACTAGGCTGTACCTTTGGGTGACTCAAGTAATTTTTTCCATTAGGCTCATTCTCTCTTGTTTCCTTGATTTTTTATTCGACACGAGATGTAGTAAAAACTTTATGAAATGTTCCTATTAATGAATATAGTCTTTGGAAGTGAAGTAAAGGAAAATTGTGGAAATAGGTTTTGGATTATTTCTTGGGTGGAGGGAGGGGATTGATGAAATTTGAGGTCTAGGCGAAAATTTCTTTCTTGGACTATGCTTATCGTTCTCTGTTTTATGATAAGAAATTTTTAGTGCTGATTTGTTCTGTTAGATTTGTATTAGTTGCCAATGCTTAAGACATTCATCAAGTTAAAGTTTCATCGGAGAGGTTGGAGGTTTTATGGTTGTAGGAAAAGTATACTTTATTTTCTTTTGCTGGCGACTGGTGAGATAAGTTTGGTCTGTAAAGTGGGGAAGAGGGGTGGGGGTAATGGAGGGTAAGTGGATAGAAGTGAGAGCTAGAACAAGGGAGGGAACTTATGAATATATCGCCAGAAAAAGATGCTAACAGTCTAGGCTATATCAACTCCGCTAAAGCTAGGCAGGCATATTATTGGCATAACAATGCAAATGCTACTGGAAAAGCTTAGATGGGTTTTGTTTTAGAGTTTAAAAATTCAGTTCTTGCAAAATGTAAGCCAAACATCACTTTCAGACAGGCAGTTCTTGGTTGACACTTGACAGTATGATGACATGGGCTCTTGGTTGACACTTGACATATGCTGATATGGGCTATCTTCTGTTTTGTGATTTTTTCGATGTCTAACTGTTTGTTTTCTAGAGTGGATCATGCTACTTGATTTATATGGACATAACATTATGGATTTTCCCCTGAATTGGAACTGTAGCCTTTTAGCATAGTTCTATGAGGCATGAAGTACCAAGGCATCAGTAATTCCCTTGGCAAGGAAAACGGATAGGAGTAAGATGTTCCTAGATGATTAGAAATGTCATTATGTCAAGTGATCATGCTAAGCAAATGAATATTGAGCAGAGTGAGCATCACTTGATGTTGTCTTTAACTTTTTTGTAGAATGTCTGGTAGGAGGAAACTGAGAACAGTTTGGCTCTGCTAAGTCAATTTAGGTTGGACATGTATATTTGCTGCATGAGAAAACTAGTACTACATATGTCAAAGCTTTGTGCAATTTGCACCTATAACATTTGAATTTTCAAACCCTTCATGGAGTAGTCAGTATGAGTAAAACTAATAGGAATGATCATTATTAGGGAATACTTAAATGCCATACTAGGATAAGCTAGGGTTTCAACAACATAATCTACTTTCCAGATGCTTCACCATAGAATTGATCGATCCAGGTCCCATTCTTTTATGCTGCACTCACTTCATATTTCTGACACACGAGGAGTACTAAGGGGGCTAACGTCTATGAGTTGTTATGGGGAGTGTTCATGAGTTGACTTATAACTTGTTTCTCTTTGAAAGAATTAATGCATTTATGCTTGTATCTCCCTAGACACGACATCAACCACTGCATTGAAGGTCCCCAGTGCATACTCTGATTTAATGGTAGATAAGAGTTATAGACATATAATGTTTAAACCTATCATACACTTCTTAATCTCTTATGAAGTAAAAAGACAGCAAAGATTTATGTTGTATACATGACACATGTTGGACACCTAGAAATTAGTGGTTTCTTACAATTAAAAGATGCATATCTTTGGCATATATGAACGATGTGATTTAAATGGGACATCAGAGTTAAACGATTTTATAGATCCAGTTGAGTATATAATTGGAGGTGGAAGAAAAGAAGAAACATATCAATCATTAAGAAATTGAAATGGCGTCATGTCCTTTATTTGGAGTTGAATTCATGCAAGAAACACACACACACACAGAGACCTGCAGCGTGCTCACGAACATGTATGCACCCTGCACCCATTATAAGCTACAAAAAAAAAGAAATACTGATAAAATGTTCCCTCGTAAACGTCGATCACATCATTTGCTGAAAACTTTGCTTTTCAGTTATTTGTGCCCTACCTTGGTCATTGACTCATTGTTACTTATCACTTGTAGTAATTGGTATTTTTGAGCAGTACATTTCAAATTCATCCCATTGCCACCTCCTCCCTTTTCTTTAGGGATGCTTATCACACTTATGGATTCTTCTTCTGGCCTTTTAACTTTTATATGCCTAACAATTGAAGAGAAAGAAATGAGATTATTTTGAAGTAATTCATACTTACAGACTTCCTGAGGAAATCGTTGCGTGCACATTATAAAATTTTGATTTGAGTCTAATTCTACTTCTCTTGTTGAATTGACAGCTTGCTGTAAATGAAACAATAGCAGAAGGTGAGGAAGATGATGGCAGTGCAGTCACTCCGTTAGAGGAAAAACCTGCAACTCCTCGTACACGCAATCGACCCAAACGGGAAGTTGAACCTTCATCTAAGTAGTCTTTATTTGTTGAGGTGAATTGATAATTTACAGAGTGGTTTCTTTAGCACTTTGTCCTTTCACTATTTATCATAATTGGCTAGAAAAAATGTCTTTATTCACCAACACTTTTTGTACTTTCTGTGACTAATTCGAAATATAACAATATATGTGTATGAAGAGCTATTTATTTTACTAAGATATTGCCAACTGATTCAACTATAGAATCCATTTTGAGGTTATCAATAAGAAACAAAAACTTATGATCCACCTATAAAATTTTACTTCATCCATTCCATATTACTTGCCCACTTCCCCCTTTACATATAGGTGTTTTTACTAATTTATTCTTCAACTCTTTTTCAGTAATATGGACAAGTAATATAGAACGGACGGAATATTATATTAGTAAAGTTGTAGCTATTTAATTAATTATTGTCACAGTTGTTACCAGTGATAACAAAAAAGAGGAATTAGCTTTGTTAATTTAATTTTCATAGCTAAGAAGATTTATGAATTCGTAGATAGGCATGGATTCAAATTTTTGTGGCTATTGCTAGGTACTAACCCCGACTTTTAAATTCATGCTAAGATTTCGTTTTAGTAAGTAAGGAGAAGGAATCTCTTTTCTGCGACAGGAAAAATGGGAGCAGATTTAAATCGATATAACCTTACGATACACCTAACGAGAGCAGATTTATTAATAATTGATTTTCTTAATTTCTTTATTTAGTTTCAAAAAATTACTACTTATAAAATTATCAATTTGCGATGTGAATTAAGATATATAATCTTCATATTTTTTTTTTAAAAACTGACATAGTTAAAAGCCACGTAAAAAGTAAAATAAGTTACCATAATTAACCATCAAAGTATTTAAAACATATTTGAATAAACGAAAGCATTTTTTGACTTTCCATATATAACTAGAATTTCCCAATTTATTTAACAGTTTTGAAAAAAAAATTAGAAATTAATATATAAAGTTAATAGTTTCCTTAATGATTAAAAGATGTTAGGAAATGGGATTCCGAATTCTGCTCGGTTTAGGAAAAACATATGCCCTATAAATGTGATGCTAAAGTGTCACCATTACTCACAAATATATTTTAGGGTTACAATTACTTGGAAGAAACATCAATCATGGTTAAAATAGTTTTACGTGTGGATTTAGAAAAAATATTTATGAATGAATTTTCAATAAAGAAAAAACCGGACGATATTTTCAGTTTGATTGAATTTGCGATTTCTGTTGCTGAAGTTAAGTATCCAACTGCGTTGGATAAGCATAAACATAGGATGTTGAACCGATTGATGAATTCGGGAAGATATAAAGAAGAAGAAGAAGAAAAGAGTGGTATGTTGAAAGAGGATATTCATGAAAAATTAGGAACAAAGGAGCGTAACAAGAAGACGGATTTTGAATCAAGTAAAAGGAAATTTGAGCAACGGTCTGCAGAGCAAAAGGAAGCCAAGAGAAGGATCGTAATGTTGGAGTAGGAGAAGATGATTTTGAGTATTAATAATAGTAGTATATCATTGACGGTTTTTTAGTTAGTCCACTCCCCTTTTCTGTATTCAAAATCATTGATATAATACTAGATTTATAATTTCACAAATGTTGTTGGGTCTCATATCTGTTATTCACTACTTGCTCTAGGTTACTAATTAAAACTAGGATCTTGTTACTCTTGCTTCTCATCAATTTACTGTTTAGAGGTAATATTGCTCAATTTGCAAAGTGTACTACTAATGGAACTTGGAAAACTACATACTGTATTGTATTCAAATTACTGAGATGTACTTTTTACACTACTTGAATAAAAGATGGTTTCAGAACCTCAATATTTCTATTTTATTGCTAAAAAAAATAGGTCAGAATTGTGAAGTAACAGCCAGCAGGGTTTCAACCTTGTTTATCAGAATAAATTCCAAGATATCATCAGAGTAGTTCTCCATCTAAATCTTAAGACACTCCAAACCGGAACCAAAACTTTAAGATATCACAATCTAGTGAGATTTAATGTAGTTGGAGGAAGAAAATCATTTAACGCGCAATCCCCAACTTTCTGTTATCAATATGGACATGTTTTGCATAATTACTGAATTTCACCAATACCTGCAAAAAGAAAAGAACTTATTATATGTACTCTTTTAATTATAACCAAATGGCAGTTTTTCTAAATTGGTTATTAGATAGTGCTACACTGGCAGAATTCATAAATGTCTGCTAGACCGGGACTTCATGGCAAGGTCATTTAAGCCAACAGAGTGCCAAATCAACTTTTCCATTTTCCTATGTCAGGAAGCTAAGGAGATATGGAAAGCAAAAAGAAAAGTATAGTAAGAAGCGACGGATAGGAGTAATAACCTGCAGCTCTCACGTTTGAGTCATAATCATAACACTAGGGTGTTACTCCATCCGCTCCAGTCTTGGCGATCAAGATTACCTTGGTGACTTGTGCTTGTAAGCTGGACAAGCTGCATGAGGTAGATGAGTCAAGCTGATAAAGATAAGAACCGATGTTAAAGAAAAAGTACAAGAATGGAAGACGAGGGAAATAAGAGATTAAATAGTGGACTCCAAAATTAAAATGTCATCCATCTTTAGCCAAATCCCTTGAAACAAACAAAGGGAAATTTAGGTACATTTCCCTTTCTTTCCTCTAGTCTCCAGACAAAGGGTTTGCTTTTCTTTTTGCCATGTAAAGCCTGATTCAGTTAGTAACGAATAACACAATCATAAGTTGAAAGATACCTTCAAACAGCATCGGAGTAGTCTTTCAACTCTCAATGAGAATATGCACTTGAACTCTTCCAGTGCGATAGATTGGTCCCCTTCAACAACTACAGACAAAACTGTTCACCAAGCTACCTGCAAAGTTGAAGTAGTAACCTGTGGGAAACAGTGAAAAACTGAAAGTGGCATTTGTTTGATGTTCTCCAAAAATTAGGTTCGCCAAGTCAGTTTGACTTTTTGGAGGAAGCGTTTATTTGATGACCTGTTTTTGCAAAATAATTTTGAAGATTTCCAAACTTAAATTGTCAAATCTTTCAAAAACTCAGGAACTGCAAAAACTAGTTTTTGAGTTTATGGAAGATTGAAAAGTAATTGTGAAAATCTTCTAGAAAAAATTAACGCTTTCCTTTTTTATAAAAAGATCCAAACCACAACAATTCTTTTCCAAAAATTTAACAATGAGTCTGCAAACTCAAGATACGAAAACTTCAAAAGCCACCTAAATAGAGCAGGCACCTTGCAGCTTCATATCACATACAAGTGCAAATGATCAACATTTTGATGATTTATTACCTATTTTCATTTCTTCAACCTGCTAAAAGAGTACACCCCTTCGCTTTTAACTTTGACTCCAAACCGAAAAATTTCAACCCAGACAACAGCAAGTCTGCTGTCTTCTTCTTCATGTGGTCAATAAGCATCTCATCATAAACAACTAAGTCGGCTTCAGTAAGATGTTTTCGCTTTCTCATACTTGCAAAAACTTTCTGTGCTTCTTCAATTGTTCCATGTTTGCACATACCATAAATTACAGCGCAATATACAGCATTATCAGGAGAATAGCCCTCTTCGAGCAATTCATTAAGAACTTTCATTACCTTCTCGGCATCATTCATTTTACAGACATGAATAATAGTGAGAATATACTTAAACTCAATAGGGCCACTTGCCACATTGCCTAGGCAGTCACGAATTAGCATCATAGCTGGATCAATCTGTCCTATTTTGCAAAGCCCTATGACAAGAGAACGATATGCAGTGACTGAGGGAATCAAAGACATCTCTTTAATTCTGTTATAGCAAATAGATGCCTCCTGTACATCTCCGACCTCTACAAAACACTGGACGGCATTGCTATAAGTTGATGAATCAGGTTCATAATCTGAACTTCTCAACTCAGAGAACAATGTGAGTGCCTTGTTCACCTCGCCATTCTGATAGAGCGCCTCCATAAGAATGTTATATATTGGAACACCGCAATAATCTTTTACTTTCAAATATTCAAAGACTTCTAGAGCAATCATAATCGTATCATCCTTCTCTACCATATATGTGAAGAATTTGGATAAATCATCACTAGTGCAATGGCTTAATCGCTGCAGTTCCTCAAGCAATTTGCAAATTTCATCCATTTTCTTTGACTCTGCATAAGACACCAATATGGGCTTCACAGTGGAAAAGTCAGGACAAAGATCTTCTTGAACTGTGATTTGGAAAAGTTTATAGGCCCTATCTGTTCGTTTTGCATTGCAGAGACCTTCAATAATAGAATTATAGATTGCCAAATCAGCCCTATAGCCCGAGTCTATCAGATCTTTAAGCAAATCACAAGCTAAACCAACTTTCCCATTTGCTACAAACGATTCAATCAAAGATCCATAAATCCCCCTATCTATCAAAATATTCTTTTGTTTCATTTCCTTGAACAACTCATAGCCTTTGTCAACTTGATTATTTTTACACAAACCAGCAATAAAAGTTGAATAAGCAATAACATCAGGTTCAACTGCATCCTGCTGCATCTCCTTCCAAACCCTTGAACAACCATCCAAGTTCCGCTCTGCAACCAATATCTTTACCATTGCTGTGTAAGCAAACACATCTGGTTTGCAACGATTCTCTCTCATCCGACCCAAAAGCTCAAACACTTCATCCATCCGTCCTAACTTGCACAGGCCCTTTATCAAGATCATGAAAGTCATACTTTCCTCCACCAACCCATCCTTCTTGAAATCATCATAAACTGACATAGCCATGTCCAAATGATTGGTTTTAACCAAAGCATCCATTATTCTGTTATACAGAAAAACTCTTGGTTTTACCCCAAATTTTTTCATTTTCTCATAAACATAGTATACTCTAAGACCCCTGTTAGCATCACCATGCATTCTGATTAAGATCTCAAATTGTTTCTCACTAGGTGGCTTTCCTTGCATATGCATCAGCTCAGGAACCTGATCAGCTGTCCGAAATTGATTCGCCCGATTCAGACCATAAGCAAAGGCATTGTAACAAGAGAAATCATGCCTGTAACCTTTCTGTTTTCCTGTTAAGATAACATTATAAGAATAAGAAGATACACATCTACAAGCACAACACTGATCATCATCAATTTGTCTATTCATTTTGCTCATTTTTTCTTGTGAACAAAACAATAACAAAATGCATAGTTTTGGACTTCATCTTTTGTATATAGACAAATTTAAGGCACAACACTCTTGCCAAAAGATCAAAACCATGACAATTGTAGTGTCTGATTGCCTCAAAATCACACAATTGCATCAATATACTCTCCCGTCCACTAAAATTCCATGATAATTGTGGTATTTGACTGCCTCAAGATCACACTATTGCATCTATAGACTCTCCCCGTCCCTTAAAAATTTCCCCTTTTTGATTTTTTGTGCCAGCTTGACCCATTTTTAGACTACAACAACAACAAACACAGTGAAATCCCACAAAGTGGGGTCTGGGAGGGTAAAGTGTACACAGGCCTTACCACTACCTCTCTACCACCCATTTTTAGACTAAAATTAGCATTACAAGTTACAACGTTCCTTGCATTCCTATTTCAAAGTGAAAACATAACACATTCAACAATCTTGGATATCATATAAAATTCCCAGAGAAGGGGAAAAGAATGACACAAATAACAAATTCCCTAAAAAAAAGTAAAAAGGGTGAATTTTGAATATACCAGCCCAATAGAAGAACTTGGATGAAATTTTGGGATCAAGATTAGGGTGTTTGAGAACCTCAGTTACAAGCTTAGGAGTAACCCTCCGTAGACTATTAAGGTCAGCCAAAAGGGGTGCACCCCAATTCCCATGTTTCCTGAATGAATCCACTATATACCTAGCAATTGGTGATAGGCGCTGAGCTAAAGAGAAGAATTCCTGAGATGCGTCTCTGGATTGTTGACCCGAAACTCCATCCGGGTCCCATTTTTGAAGCTGAAAATCACCTTGGGTAACAGAGGAAGGTGAGTTTTTGGTGGTGCGGTTTGGGTTTATGGTTTGGCGATTGGAAAAAAGGCCTCCTTGGACTGTAGGACGATGCTGAGTAGGTTTCCGGTGGCCGTAGAAGAAGTACGGTTTGCTTTGTGCGGATTTGGGCGGCATTTTTGAGTTTCTGTTCAAGTTTTTTCTTCTTCATGAACTGAAAGCGGCTGTGCTTGTATGAACTATTTGCGAGTATTTGGGTAAAATCATTCAAGTATAATCTAAATCTAAATCTAAATCTAAATCTAAAGTACATTCTTATGTTATATAAGTGAACAAAAAATAACCTTGAACTATCCAATAAGTTACAAGATTCATCATTTTATCTATTTTTTTTTAAGAAACTCACCCCACCAATAAAAAAGAGTGCCAAGTCGAATGAATATATGTACACATGGTTAAGCTAATCAAGTTAGGTGATTTTTTTTAATTTTTAGAAATTGAGAATTTAAATCATATTCAGACAAAATATATTCAAATTCAAAATATTCTTTGTAAATATGGCCAAATACTACTCCAACTTCAAAAATTTCAAATAAAATAATTATTTTTTTATTTTCATAACTAAATGCCTATGTAAGTTCACTAAATTTTCAGCATTTCTGTACATTGTATAAAATGTGAATCACATTGTATATATAGTACATACATTCTAAATATTTTATTAAAGAAAATCTCTAAATAGTTGGACATAATATTTTTAAAATGATTTTTTTTACATAATATTTTTAATCATCGGAACCTACTGTATAAATATTTCAAAACTTATTATTGTTGCAAGTCAATTTAATTGATGATGCAAAAAACATATAAACTAACAACACACAAAATTTAAATCCTAAGAATGAAAGCTTCATTTGCTATCCATATCCTTATTCTTTTTAGGTAACTTTGATTTTCTTGTCGTGACAAAGACATGACAAAAAAAAAATAAAAATTATTGGTTCTCTAAGTTTCTTAACAAAAATATAATGAAGGATGATTCATGTTATTTTTTGGATAGTATAAGGATGTTTTTTGCTCACTTGGATAATATAAAGATGTACATTAGATTTGAGTCATAGTTAAGGAATGATTTTAGCTAAAAACTTAACTATTTGCAGAAACTCTTTTGCACTTTGTTTTTTTAAAAAAAAAATAAAAATCCTTAAGCAAAAGTCAATAAAATTTGTTTTGATTTTTTTTACAACAAAAGACTACAATATTATTTTTTCATAAGCACATTATTTAACTCTGCTAAGAAAAAAGAACTTCATTATAGGTACAAATTGATAATCTTCTTTACATTTGTGTCCTTAGTTTGCCAAAAAACTAGAGCTACTTTGAAGTGGGTTCCACCTTTTGAAAATGTATAACAAATGTAAAATAGCAACTAGCGACCAAATTTTCCCTTTGGTCTCGTATGAATTTTGATACTCAACTAAATTTAAATTTACACGAAAATGTTTCATATTAGAAGGTAAATAGTTTTTAATAAGACAATTTTGTATTCAAGGGAATTCAAACTCAAAATCTCTAGTTAAGGATAAAAGAGTACTTATTAATCTATCACAATTTTTTTAAAATCTCTATAAAAAATAAAAGGATACTTATCACTCTACCATAATTTTTATCGATAAGTAGCACCAAATTACTTAGCTGTATATTTGTGTCTGGACTGGAGTCTAGAAAACACCTTTTAAAAAATAATTAAATACATGAATGAGGTACTTATTTTTATTTAAAAGACTTCAAACATGTTTTTCATAATCAAAATTATTTATTTCAAATTTGAAATATAACAGATCAAAGTATAAAGCAAATATTTATATATATGATAACACTTGATTTGGACATTGATTTTTTACAATACTTCGTTAAAATTTTATTATAATAAAATAACGCGAATTTTTTGAAAACGCCGTATCAAAGTATAGAATTTGAATACATTTTACTTAATCCTTTCTAGGATAGGCGTGAAAAAAAAGAAGAAAAACTAACATCTTCTAATTTTTCATTTTTCATCATTAACTATTGGTCCGCACCCTTGAATCATATTCATATTAGCAATAAGATATGTATCAACTCTAACTGATTTTCAAGGGTAAGAACAAGTCTAAATGTCAACAGTGTATATCAAGGTGCTTGATGCGATCATTGATGTATAATTAAGCTCCACATTATGACCAAACCCTTTTAGAACTGCATAAATAGATCCATGGGTAATCTCTTCCTATCTGTTCTAGCTTTGATGGTAACTGCCATGGCCGCCAGAGTCACCTGATGGTAGGTAGCATTATAGCTTTGATGGTAACTGCCATGGCCGCCAGAGTAGGTATCATTAAGATGTGTGCACGCTGGCCCAAACACCACAATTTTCACAAAAAAAGACCACCTAAGTAGTGAGATGAACTTGAACTTCTAAAATAGCAGAAGGTTGATACCATCACCAATCAGCTTGAACATCTTTGAAATGAGTTCAAAGAGATGCACCAGGACCATGACATCCACCTCTTTGATCTGCCAACATGCATCTAAAACGACAGTAACAAGGCATACAAGTCACAGCAAGGCTAAAAGTACAAAATCCCTCGATGCATTTTATACCTGTTGCCAATTCCCAGAGGGGAAAAGGGTGAAGTTATATAAAGATTTACAAGCTTACATCGAAATATCAAAGCCACTTACAGCAAAGGTACATGGGCTTAGCAACATGCAATTTATCATTCATCTATCATACCTACCCAACTATCCACCATCCAGCAGGATATTTTCTCTTTAACCAAAAATAAATAAATGGAACAGAAATGAGCTTTTTTATATTACAAATTTCCGCTCAATGCCATAAACATTCTCCTATTCCACTGCCTTCCAACTTGCTTACTTTTCTACCATCCCTCTGCAAGATCATGGTTGCAACTGCTCCACCATTAGACTCGGTAACACCCAATGATGTTACATAACATACAAAAAGATCCAGAAGTTGGTCAACTTTTCATTGAAAAGATAACTTAAGAAGTTGGTCAACTTTTCATTGAAAAGCCAACTTAAGAAGTTGATCAACTAGTCATACATGTTAAAAGTAACCCTCTTCTGTGTTTTTTCTTCTCTCCAATTGTTCGCAGTCCTCGGTTCATCACTTTGAAACCTTGAGCTTTTGTACCTCGGCACATGTTGTGAAGAACTTTCCCTCTTGCGTGAACCAGTATAAAAGGTTTTATCACCTCTGCTAGGTCTTCCAAAATCCACATTTCTCTCATTACTCTGCCTTGGTTGTTGCTGATAATCCCAAGACGTGACCTCAGATCCTCTCCATCTTCTGTCTTTTGAGGTTGTTCCACCACCTCGACTAAGATTCCTATTCCAACGAGAGCCATAGTCTGAATTCCGCTGCTCATGCCCCCCAGTATTCCAATAGGTTTGACCCCAGGAACCAACGCTATTATCAACCCATTCGTTTCCTTTAGCACCAGAAACACATGCACCACTTTGATGCCACAAATTGCTGAAACTGTTATCAACACAAGCATATCCATTCTCATAATTCATCCCCGTGTTCCAACCCCATGACTCATTTCCACAGCCTCCCCAGACAGTGTCCTTCAAGATGCCTTGGGTTTTAGGGGAACTCCTTTCCCACGGATTATCATCTTTGATGTTTACAGGGGTATACCATTCATTCCAAGTCTGCTTCGTATCCTCAATAGAAGCACTTTCCCAAGGATTTTCACGATTGTCACCAGGCTTTGAGTCCTTCACATTGCCACTTTCCCAAGGATTTTCACCATTAGCAGCAGTTTTAGAGCCCTGCACATTACCACTTTCCCAAGGATTTTCACCATCATCAGTAGTTTTATCCTCCCATACCAAGGTGCATCCAGGAACTAAGTTGTTCTCAGACTTGACAGAGTTTGTAACTTCATTAGGGTTAAAATATTCTCTGTCCAAATCTAATATCAGCTCCGGATCGATAGTTGAGTCCCAATCAACTATATCAATGTACAAATCTGGATTGGGAGGAGGATTCTGAGGGGGAAGACCACAAATCTCCGCCCAATATCTCCTTTTTGCATCATTGAATGCTTCTTGACCTGCAGAGTCATCCCACTTAACCACATTTTCATAACAGTACATATATGTTTTTGCACTCACAACCTTGTGCCAGGGAATGCCGGCTGCTCTGCAGAAATCTATTTCCCATAATGGGACACTGTTTTGCTGGATAGCTTTAAAAGGCCAAAAAGAAGAAGTTATCAGATTCTGTAGATAATACAAGACTTGATAGCATTCAAGCAGATGTGCAGATGAAAATATTTTATGTGAAATAGACTTTTAATTTAATTTTAAAAGAAGATGAAGAAAGAAGAAGAAACTGAAGGAAATATATGAAGAGATATATTTTATTAAAATGACAAAACTTCCACAACAATCAGAATTCCAAGCATGTCTATCAAGATCTTTTACATATACATACACACACGTGTATATGTGTGTATAACTTTTAAAGCACATAATCTAGACACACAAATTTCAGAGGAATATTGGAGCTGGGTCAGCTGGCTTCAACACTTCCAACTTTCTACCAACTCCACTTAAATACCAGACTTGGTTCACCAGTTAGGATTTGAGTCGTGACTTGTGCCAACCACAATCTCGAGTCCCTACTGTCTTTTGCCCTGAACTAAATCTGAGGCAGGAATATAATTCCTTGTACAAGAGGTTAGCGTAAAAGGACAGCTATTCAATGCTTGTTATTTTCCAGGTCAAAATAATGACAAATTGAAACATGAACCAATTTCCTTAACAGAGAAGGTATACGTTGTCTCCCTATTTACAGATTCAGCTAGTTCCCCTTTCAACAATTCTCTTTTTTATTATTTACAGTAACCCAGACAAGCACCTCACATGCTTCTGATTTTAAATATCTACCTTCCTAACATAATTACGGACTGAAAAGTGAGCATGATAGACTTTGCAGCAATAACAGTCTCAAGAGATAAGAATGACAACCAAACATTTCTGGAAGACGATTCACACGCGAAAATTTAAAAAGAGAAAGGCCTTCCTCATAAGCTAATTGGTAGAACAAAATAATAATTAGACAGAGGTTCAAGTCCCAACTAAGGGGGGTGAATCATTTTAAATTCTTAGTTACAGCTTTAGGGACTCGTGAAAGACAAGCTTGATCCTATAGAATGTAAAATACTCTATCTTACAAAATATTTCAAAAGGAGGACAAAAGTTTACTATTCTATGGCATCACTATCTGATGTGAACTTCTCATGCTATCAACCAATTTTACCAGGTCTAAGTAGTCAAGGTATCTGTTCTAAGAACTTAAAAGGCACAGCAACATAGCTCTCATCGTTTTCCTAAATTCAGAACTGGGAAAATAAATGAAGTCACAGTTCTTACAGAAGCGATTCAGTATGATATGTGAAATTCTAGGAAGATGATAATATGTAAATGGTCAAAAAGGGTATCAAGAATCAGAGCTCTAAGGCACCGATAACTGATAACTCCCCCACCCCCCTACACACGTAGTTCAATAACTCTACAACAACAACATACCCAGTGTAATCAACAAAATTAATTAATCAAACTTGACAGTTATCATCCATCATTAAGACTAGAAGTATATTGGTCAGAAGCGCAACGGTCACAGCTTCCAACAGATGGAATAGTTTAGGGGTCGGAAATTTTTAAAAAAAGAACAAAGGTAACAGACAGAAATAAAAAAAATTATTTGCAAATGACTATGGGGACTTAGCAATGAGAAGCACATTCTAATGGGAAATGAGTGATTAGGGGAAAGTATGGGATGTATGGAAATTGGATTTCAGGAACAACAAGTGGCTCCATTGAGTAGCCCCACTGACGCATATAAGGAAGCTTTGGGAGGGATTCTACCACCAGGTTTACATGGCAGAGAAACCAGAAAATGGTCTACTCCACGGTATTAAGGTATAACTCTAAAAGTCTTTTCAGATTTATTCACCTATTCCTACACCAGGAGATCTCCATAAGTGAATGCAGAACTGTAGAAAAAAGAAATTGAAGAGGAGGAATATTTTCAATCGACAGATCAATTGAATGGATCTATCATGGTCAGATATTCAGCTACTTTAACCATAAAACTAGATGCTTACAAATCTTAAATTCTTGGTATAATCTGACTTTAGTAAATGATGTCAATTCTTTTGTAGATTTCACAGATTACTAGCAGTGAAGTAACTCTGCCATATCTTGAAGTGCCTTAGTGAAGTTCTCAGAGAAATTATTAACATCACTTTTTACTCAAAAGAGAAAAAGACTAGAAGTTATAAATATTAGAGAAGCTAGCGCTATTTTTTTTCTAAATCCATCAGTAAGACGAACACAATCTAAAAGAATCTTGTGATGGCCAATCTGTTACATTGTAAGAAAAAAGAATCTTGTGATGGCCAAATATCATGGAGAAAAGAAAAAACAGTCAATCAAGTGTCTCCATTGGATAAGTAACAACAACACGTTCACGCTAACAGTAAAATATTCTATCACCAGCTAAGAAATAACTTTTTTCCTTTTCCGAAACATCGTTCATTTATATTCGACCAGAGTGTATGTAGACCTTCACTCAAATAACAAAAACAAATGGAATAAGAAAGGAAAAATGTGCATCTTGACAATATCAACTTGGCAATGGTATACCACTAATGAAGAGGACCAGCCATGTCTTCGTGTTAAAACGTGTTTGGTGCTTCATATGGGAAACAATTCCTTCCTAGTTGTTTATGATCACAAATTGATTTTAATTTTCTCGATTTCCATCTGCTCGTGGGAATTCCTCAATTTGTTCCAATGTTGTTCGCTGAGGCAGAGCTAGGTAGTGATCAGGGGGTTCGGACAAATCCCCTTCGCCGGAAAATTACGCAGTATATATAAGGTTAAATCTGCATTTTAGGTATATATATATCATAAAATGAACCCCCTCAATACTTACCTGTAACTTGGTTCAGCGGTGAAGGTGGTTCAAATGTTGCAAGGGGTCACTGGTTCCATTCCTCGCGATAACATTTTTTAAAACTTTTATTTCCCTTTTCTACCTATGGTCATTACCCACGCGCCACAACTATCTTACATAGGATACTTCTCGTGATTTATTTAATTAAAAAAGAATAAGAAAGATAATAGCTATTTAATTCTCATTCTCTAGATTTCATTCCAAACATTAATAAAAGTAAGCCCCCTCACTTATTAATGTCTTCTTTGTTTTATGCTTAATTATGATAAAGTATTTTATTTATTTATTTATTTGAAAACATCAAATTTATTTGTCATAATATATTTGAACTTATAACTTTTTTCTCTACACAATGATCCCCATAACAATAATGAAGATTATAAAATGAAAGGAAATGAGCCATGTGGGTTACTAAGTAATTTTTGAATAACATAAAAAATATACGGTATCCATATTGTTACACTATGATATTTATCTTTATTTTTTAAAGAAAAAAGTACTTTCTTCAATTCAAATTTAAAGGGAAAAAATGTTAAAAAGGAGCATGATAGGGCGAGTTAAAATTTAGGGGTTAAGTTAGTCATTCTCTTGGTCACCCAACCCGTTTATCATCCTACAATCCTTACGTATTTACTTTCTCATAGTTTTAACCCCTCTATGGAAATCCTGCATCCGCCACTAGTTGTTCGGCTGGTGTACTAGACTAGAAAATAAACTCAGGATGTATAAACTAGTTATTGTTTAGTATAAAATCTATGTACTTGTCAAAAGTACTTAATGCTTCGAGTGGATGAGTTTTTAGAGTACCAGAATCTCTCTCAAGCAAATAAAACAGAAAACCAAATATTTAGGCAAATAATATATCAAGGAAACATGACTATTTTCATCAAATAAACATTGAGACCCTGTTTGGATGGTTGTTGCTTAGTATCATATCGGTATTGTACTATTTTGTTTTAATAAATACAATATTTAGATAGATTACATTGTTCTCCGTCATTACATAATATTAGACATCAACAATTTAAATGCTAGGGGGGAGAGATTCTATGAAAAGGTAGGGTAAACCTAAACGACAAAATAGCATTATTAAATAATAAGTAAGACAAAATAAGAATAACGACACAATCACACCCGATCCATCGTTACACAAACTGGGGTGGGGTTTTCGTCGTTAACTAACAATTCATTACACAAAAATGGGCCTTTTCGTCGCTAATGATGGATTTAAACATACCAACAATCAAAACAATAAAAATTAAACCAACAATCAAAACAAACAATTTTTAAAAACTAATAAAACAGTACATACAATGGGTAACAACCATCCAAACAAAGTGTAAAGCTTGTTCTTTAATGGATCCTCTACAGTCTACACATACAGAGGCAACCTCTAACTAAACTAATCATCCAAATGAAAAAAAAAAAAAATCAAACAAAAGAAAACCCAAAATTTTTCACCGAATTGTAGATCAAGAAAACACCATCGGCATTAATCGATACAGAAAAATAATTGATAATCAACAAATAGCATGAAACAGTACCTAAAAAAGAAAAAAGAAGACAGATGAGTACCATGATAAGGAGATTGGTTGTAATGGTACGGCTGAGAAGGGGGAAAATCTTCCTGCTTGTAGTTTTTTCTGGGTATCCATCTTCTTCTGTTCCAATTCCCCATTTTTGGAACTCAAAAAAAGCGTTTCTTTTCAGTCGGCAAAAGGGAAATACTCAGATTGAAGATGTTTTAGGGCTTTTTAGTACTGAGAATTTGCTTTAATTTGTGCACACAGAATACATGTTTGAAACCGATATTAGTAAATTGATGTAATAATTGTGTATATATTAGTAAGAAAAATTGAACATGAAGATGATCAATGGGCCAAACCGACTTGATAGGTGATGGGCTTTGCCACTTTTATTGCAAGTTTATGCTCGGATTGTTTCTGTTTTTGGATTATTTTTTATCAGATACATCGAGATATATGTATTTTACTATCAGATATATTCTAAAATACAAATACATGGAAAGAGAGGGAGAGAGACAATAATAGGAAGAAGGCGAGCGAGAGAATTAATGTACATGTGAATCACACTAGATACATATATCTGGAATATAATCTACATTCTGAAATACGAGTATAGAGTGAGAGAGGTGAGCAAGATAGGAGAGAGATAGTGTATTTCATATACGTGTGAATCCATTTGGATATAGTGTATCTGAAACAAATTAAACCTAATTTTGACCTCATGCATGTATTCGAGATACGTATATCTGGAGATCGAAATATGGCACAAATGTGAATTTGGAAACTCAGGGTAAAGCACATAATTATACCCTCTACTAGTGTGATTTATGTTGTTTTCCCATTTTTATTTCTTGTCTATGCGCTACTTATTTAATAAAAAATTGTAGGTCAAATACGCTATTTATGACCTAATTAGAAAACTTTTGACATATCTGATAGTATTTAATTCGTAAGACATAAGTTTAGAAATGTTTTGTCTTTTTCAAAAAAAATTTTAGAAAACTAAGAGACATAATTTTGTGGATTCTGAAACAAACCTTATGTTTTGTATGACATTACGCGTGTCGTGTGAATTTTACTTCGTGATTATAATTGTTTGCCTTGTAAGGTATAATTTGTATCTTGTGAGGTTTTTTCTTTTTAGATGTGGATATTTTCGATCGCTTTTTTATTACTTAAAAGGGGAATAACAGTTTTAGTCGCTATATTATTGTATAATTCCAATTTTAGTCCATGTGTTATTTGACTATGTATATATAACCTTCAATTATTTAAAGTATGCGGTTTTGGTCCTTGAAGTTAATAAAATTTAACTATTTAACTAACTAATTATTTTGAAAATATATAAAATAAAATAACGAGTTAGTAATTCTAAATGTTTGAAGAATTATGTATAAAAATTATAATTACATATATATATAGACTGATTATTTTAAATATATAAATTGATCTCAATTGCTTCTTTATTTGCTCTGCTTTTTATTCATTAGCAACTCGTTCTTTCTCTCTTTTTTAACAATTATTAATCAAGGTCAAATACGATTACCTTGGAAAGGTTTTAGTAGGTGGACTGGCTCCTTAGGGCTATCAATGGTGTCCTAACAACTTTCGGTCTTTAAAAAATTTAACATTTTTTATTTATTACTAATAGTATACCTTTCATTCATAACCAAACAATGTACAAGTATAGCATCAGCAGCCTAGACAAGTTGCTCCTACATACAGTGGCGGAGCCAAAATTTTCGCGGAGGGGTTCAACATATAAATAAGTAAATAAAAAATGAAGCAAAATGGTTATTGGGGAAGAAAAAAATTATCCTTAATCCGTTAAATTTAACTTGCCTTGTCATGCCGCGTTTAACGTTTCATCCTACTTTTACGCTGCTTCATGGATTCTTTTTTTTTTAAATGTGATTTTTTAATTTTATTTTTTATTATTTTACTTTATTTTGAATTTTTTAAATAAATTAAAAGTGTTCATTCAATCATATGTTACTTTAAAAATTGTTTAATACTCTTTAAAAATGTTGGGGGGGGGGGTGAGTTACTAATATTATAATGCTTATTAAAAGGATAAATATATGGCATCGCCAATTTTTTGTTCATTTATTTAATTTATAAGATTTTCCATCGGTAAAAAAAATGACGAATAAATCAAATAAATGTAGTTTACATCTCTCTAGAATAGAACTGAAAAAATGAGAAAGAAATATCATGAATAATCATGCCTTTCAAATTTATTCGCTCGATTAAGTTTAGTTTAACTTATCTTTAAAATATCTTTTCTCTATCTCAATTTCAAGTATAAGAACAATTGACAGTTTTTTTAAAAAGTTCCTTTATATTAGTATATAAAAAGAGAGTTACGTTAAAATAAAATGAGCAATAGAGATAAAAAGAATAGAATACAAAAAATGAAAATAATGTGCCTAATAAATTCGAACAAATGAATATTGAAAAGGAGAAATAACATTAAAAAAAAATGAAAAAAATAAAGCTCCAACCCACAAATGTTGAGCCCATCTCAGCCTTGCTATTTGATTTTCCAAATGAAGAAAACAAAAAAAAATCAAGGAAAGTGTTGTTGGGTAGAATCGAACCCAAGACATCCAGACGAATTCTCGAACCCCCTTTACCACTGAGCTAGCCTCAGACATGTGTTGAACAGTTCATTTTAATATATATACACATGAAAACAGAATTTGACCTTATATATACAGTTTAATTTTCCGACGAAAGGGATTCGGGTGAACCCCTAATCTCCATGTAGATCCGTCCCTGCCTATATACCAACTAGTTTCACTAAGCTATTACAAAGCAAACAAGAAACTTATGTATCGATCTTCATAAGGGATATGTTGCCAGTCCCTGTAGGCACTCCTTCCATGTTGTAATGTTTCTTTCTTTAATGTATAAGTGCAACACTATATCTCTAATCATCATTTCAGAATAGAAAGGTGGCTTTTGAAATCGAATACAATTTCTAGCTTACCATATCATATTCACAATCAAAGCAAGAACACAACTTGTCATCTCAATTGGACCATCTTTTCTTCATACAATGTGGCTCATCCAGTTCACTTCATTCTCATAATCTAATATTTATTTGTTATGCCCTAGCCAGTTTAGCGTACAACTCCATATACTCAAAGAACAAATGAGAGAAATTAAGCTTCCAAGTGTTGTCCACAAAATTAAAAACAAAATCAGGAAGGACATTATATCGATCCCAAACTTCTACAATCTCTCAATTGTTGCAAATCGTCTTTGTATAGCCAATCATAGTATAAGTTTGTGAAGATAAAGCATATGTCATGTAGTGCTAACTATTAGTTCATTCTATTCGATTAGTCATTGCCAAGATGTTAGTTATATTGTTAGTTAGTTAGAACATTAATTAGTTTGTTACAAATAGATGGTGTATTCAATAGAGATAATGACGTTTTAGTATATGTATAAATACTAATACATAGAATGTAATATAAACAAGAAGGTTGAAATAATATTGCAGTTGGTTTACTTTTCATCTATGCTCTTCTTTATTCTCAAATACTCCATAGCCACAACTTCCATTGGAGAAGACTGCGAGCTTTCTTAACATGGTATCAAAGCTACGGCTGTAAATCTCGTTTATGTTTTCTTGCTTTGCATTTTGTTCCTGTCACCAGATCTTCAATGGCAGAGCGGATCGATCACACACATCCTCTGTACGTACATCCATCAGATACTCCTGGAGCAGTTCTCATTCCAGTTCAATTGAAAGGGTCAGAAAACTATGGGATATGGCGGAGATCGATGACGATAGCTTTACAGGCGAAAATGAAATTGGGTTTTGTTACAGGCGTTTGCACGAAAGAATCAATTCAAGATGAACATCACGAACATTGGGAAACCTGCAATGCGTTGGTACTTTCTTGGATCATGAACACTGTTTCCCCATCTCTTCTTAGTGGCATTGTTTATGCTTCAAATGCTTTCTTAGTTTGGGAAGATTTGAAGGAACGATTTGACAAGGCCAATCGTATGAGAATTTATCAGTTGCATCGAGAAATCAACACAATTGTACAAGGAACGAACTCTGTAGCTGAGTATTTCACCAAATTGAAAGAATTGTGGTCTGAGTTTGATGCGATGGTCCCTTCTACTGATTGTGGTTGCGATAAGGGGAAGACGAATGTGGAACATCTTCAGCAACAACACTTGTTACAATTTTTAGGAGGCTTAAATGATTCTTATGATCAAGCAAGACGACAAATCCTTATGAAGACAGCTGAACCTACTCTAAATCAAGCTTATGCACTAATCATTGAGGACGAATGTCAAAAGCGTATTAATCTGAAAACTACGCCTAATTCAATTGTGGAAGGTAATGACATTACTGTACTATGGAGTGCATGAGGATCACAGACCTATAGAAAACCACATAATGAACACTGGAATGAGAGATGTGATTTTTGTAAGATTAAAGGTCATATTAAGGCAAATTGTTATAAGCTTGTTGGTTATCTTCCTAATTACAAAGGCAAGAAGAAAGAGGGAATTGCTGCTAATAACTTTTTCTTGGGTGATCAATACCCAATGGGGTCTTTGGTTCAGTTTCCTCATCATGGTAACAATGCTAACAATTTTCATCCACAATCAACATGTTCACATTATAATGATTACAACTCAAACAATTATGGTTTTAATGGTTATCCACCAGAGGTTTCTCATAGGGGTCAAGGACAAATGGGAATATATGCACATGGACAGATTACACCAAACCAATATTATGCACATGGATAGAATATGCCCATGCCTGATAAGGATCAACATTCAAATGGAATAGCAGCTCCTTCTGCTCATTCTGCAGGTATTGTTACCTCATTTCATGTTAGTAATATGCCTGATAGGTGGATAGTTGATACAGGTGCCACTAATCACATGACTTCAGATCTAAGATTGCTATATGAAACCTGTAAACAACAAGGTCAGCATGTTCATTTGCCTGATGGAAGTAAAACATCTATATCTCACATAGGACATTGTAGGTTGCCTCAAGGTGTTATTCAGAATTTCCTCCATGTTCCTGATTTTCAATACAACCTGTTATTAGTTCCCAAGTTAACAAGGGAATTACAGTGTTGTATGGCATTTTATCCATACTATTGTCTACTGCAGGACCTTCACACTGGGAAGGTGAAGGGGATTGGTAGGCTAGAAGGAGGCTTATACTACTGGGATCACAAGAAACAAGACTATTCTGCAGCTTCTGTAAGGACTAAGAGT